ATATTTACCATTTATTAATGTACGTCTTTTAATAAGAGCTTTTTTTAAAGGAAATGTCTAAATAGTTTCTAAAAACTATTTTAACATGGAACATTAAAAATGTGATTTGTTTAACTATATATGTCTAATATCACTAATATTTTAAGAGAAAGATAATAGCAGTCCTGGTAGAACAATGCATTCCCTACTATGGTTTTTCGTGCACAATCATGACGGGGTTATATTTTCCACGGGCTGTTGTGCTTACCTCCACATCTTGGAATTGGTCCACTCCACATCACTTTTCCATCCATAAGAATACATGTAATTGTTTCTGTTCCCTGGGTTTTAATAAATCCTTCTTCACAAATAACTGAAATCGAACTTCCTAATTGAAAGTTGTCCCCAAACCTCCGTGCATTGATTGGTATTCCAGGATCTGGACACTCATTATGACCAAATGCTTGAGAACAGCAAGCAAAAAATAAAAAAATCAGACAGGAAGAGAAAAACAGTTGAGTATCTGGGGTGAGAAAAAGTGATTTTTAATAAAAGGTTATGTTTATTTCTAGAAAAGCCCTTATTTATAAAAAAAAAAAAATGGAGGCTCTGCTCTGACCATACCTATTTTCCCATGATGTGTAATAGGTGTGATTATTTTAAAATATGAATTTCACTCTATAATTTCAAAATACAACTCTTTCTGCTTATTTGCTGGAGATCATTAGGTTTAACCTATGTAAAAATTTCCAGGAAAATCTAGTCAGAATTCCAATTAATGTGAATAAAGAGCTTTAGAAGTGTTATCTCATTTAACATTTAGAACAGTCTGATGAGCAAAAGTATCATCATTTATGCTGTGACAATCAGAAAAATTAAGTAGCTTGCCTCAGAGGATAGAGTTAGGATTGAAATGTATCTTCTGGTCTGGCTTTTAAATTTTTTTCTCAACAGCATATTGTATCTTGGGTTATTTGTCTCCTGACTCTCAAGAGAGTAAGAGTTATTGAGTTCAGGGCCACTNACAGCCAGTTATATTCAGGCTACAGTCTAAGCCTGAGAGGGGAGTCACTGACTATCACTAAACTGAGTTAGGCTGACTATGGAATTCAACGTGAATGATCCAATGCTGATTAGAATGATTAATGCACTGTGCTTCCATTAGCAAAACTGAAAGATCATAAGGCTTTAAAAAGCATCTAATCTTTCTTCCTCATGAGGAAATTTGATCAACCCATTCTAGAGAAAGAGGTTCACATTTTCACAAAAATAGCCTAAATCTATCCTTAGTTAATGCATCGACGGTGAACTTCAGGTCAGTGAATAAAATGTATAACCCAATTCTGTTCAACGATTGTATTTAAGCTATCTGAAATTAATCTAAGTTCAGCTGTGGGATCATAGAGCTGCAACACATCATGATCTCATTTCTCCCTCTTGGTCTGAACAATCCTTATTCAAGGACTATGGCACATAAAAAGTTTCCTTTTAGTTTTCTCACACATTTCCCACAGTCTTAGGGTTGAAGACTGGTTGACACGGGTGTAACATCAATTTGTCAATATGTCTAAACTTCCAGACAATTGCCATACAGAGGAATTGGGGGAGAGGGCTAACTTTGAGAGGGTTGAAGTCTGGGTTTTCTTATTAAAACATTTTATACTGACTTCCTCTGCTCTATAAGTTCCAATTTAAAAAATAAGTCTCTACTCTCCAATTTTAACAGACAGCAACCCATACACAAAAGCAACTTTTAATGATGCATTCAATTTGGAAATGTTTTGTGTGAAGAAAATATATGTAGAAATTTATTTGCATTCATCAGAAAATATAAACATGTACATATTTCACCTATGTAAAATGTTTAATATAATGATAGTACAAAAGTTTTAGCTAAAATATTAAGCGTATATTGGAGGCAGTGATAGTGCCCTAAAAGATAATCTATAATAAGTAACAAGCAAAACTTTTCTGTCAAAATATGGAAGGCATAAAGAACAAAGAAGATAGGCACAGAGGGCTCCCAGACATAGTTCTTTGTGGAAATGGAAGAGGCTTGG